GTTGTATGAGTGAGTTGTAGCCAAAATACCCCTGCTGACTCAGTATTCTCCGGGAATTGATTTATGCTGAATTGTCTAATTAAAAATGGGCACCTTAGCAGCCTTCAAAAATTATGAAAATATTCATGGATAAACTTCAAGATGCTGTCTCCCATCTCCAATTGGAATCATGTCGAACTCTATTATGATGAATATTTGACGAACTTATTCATTCCGTGGCTCATAAGCTGAAAAACAGGAAAGAACTCAACTCAGCATCTTTAGTCCAAATTAATTCACAAAACTAAGTAAAAAGGATATAAAATCATGTGAATTTATGAACACATCACTTTAGATTCAGAACTTCCAGCACTTGATTTGATTTCTACGTTCATGACTTTCTTCCTTACCTCTTCTCGTTGAATAGTAGTACAAACAGTATTGAAAGAAGGCATTTCAACACTCATCAAAATGTGACTTCGTAAGTCTTCATAATCTAGATCCAAACTTGCCAAGAGTTGGAAAATTTTATCCTCTTCAGCCCTTTTCAGAAGGGTGGCTGAATCAGTAGTATGTGGTCTGTAAAGATCTAGCCCATTCCACATGCCTTTAAGCTTTCCCAAATGTTCAATAAAAGGTTTTCCATCTTGATATACCCCAGCAATATCCTTCTTTAGTTGAAAAATCCTGGCTGCATTATTTTGATTTCCATACATTTCTTTGACAGCAGTCCAAAGATGTTGCGCAAAATCAAAAAAACTGAAAATCTCAGCAACTTGAGGCTCCATAGAGTTGAGCAACCAAGACATGACAAGTTGATCCTTGCATAACCAATCCTCATACTTTGGATCATCAATAGCAGGTGCAGGAATATTTCCATTGATGAAGCCAAGTTTCGATCTTCCTCCAAGAGCCAAATTGACAGCTCTTGACCAAGGAATATAGTTAAATCCATTTAGAAGAACCGAACAAAGATGAAGATTGGTATTCCCATCGGATTCGCCCGAAAAAACAGAAGCTCTCCGAGAAGAATCACCCATTGAGAAGACAAAGAGACAGGATTTTCAAAGGTCCTGCTTTGATACCATGTAGAAATCAGAGAAAAAGAAGAAAACAGAACAACACAAGTTTAACGAGGTTCGGCAATTTAGAGCCTACGTCCCCGGTGGAGTTTTAGATTCTTATTCATCGTATCATATCAGTACAACAGGCTGCATATATATGCAAGCCTTTTACAGTCGTTAGAATTAATAAAGGCTTTTACAGTACCAAGACAATACAACTGTTGGAAGATGAAGAGTTTCCAGCAGCTGTAAGAAGACGAGGAGTTTCCAACAGCAGTTCATTATTTTACATATTCCAATATATAGACTCGAAGATGAAACTAATTACCACAATCTTGACTTGAATCTAAACATGATATTCAAGGCAAGGTGCTTTTATATCCAGCAGAGACCAATTGCATCAAGTAGGGTAACACTTTGACAAATCCTGGTTCCATTTACTCTTGTAACAATTTCAGATCAAACCCTGAATGCATCAAACAGAAATCAGTCACAACAGAAACAGTAGTGGACATTGATAAATCTTAGCTCCATCTCTAAATAAGCAACACACAAATTGGTGCATATATAGAGAAGCTACTTACAGTGGCTTTCTCAGGCGGTTCAGTTGGAATTTGATTCTCTATCAGTGAATGTACTGACACCTAATTTGGTTGAAGCACTACCACATCCTCCAGGTATTCTTGGATGTGATGGAGAGGAACCTTTAGGATCATGTCCCAGTGAGGCAAGTAGGACTTCAATTTGCTTTCATGCATGATGAGTATGTGAATTTCTGTCAGCTTCACAAGCTGAGGAGGAGGACCAGATATAGACTAAATGTGTTTAACCCACTGGTTCCCATATGGGTTGAGATGCCAGAAAATAGTTTTATTTTCAGGGTTTCCATTGAAATAGAGAGCTTTATTCACTGCGGCTAACCTGTATACTTCCCCGACGGGTTCAGAAGGTAACTGGGTCTCTTCAAGTAATTCTGAGCAGAGAGAAAATGTACAAATCACGTTGCCTTTTCCAAGCCAATGGAGTTTACCATTAAGGTAAACCCCAAATGGTCTTCACGTGGGTTTTGCCATTAGCTTCTTCTCACTGCACACCTCTCTCCACTTTGTATCAGCTCCGAAGCTGAAAATAAGCAGCTTGTATTTGGTTGTAAAGATAACTGCTTTATACAAAGTTGAAATCTCACAGAACCCGAATCCAGCTGTTAACATTTGATACTGACTTGGGAGTGGTGTAGAGGTTACAGATCCTCTAATGAGGGGGTTCCAAACAGTGTACTGACTTCTGCTCCTTGCACACAGTAAGCCCTTTGATGAACCCACAATTTCTGACTCCAAAGTCGGGACAGACTGGATTGTGGGAACTAAGCGAACTTGACTCTTAACTTGTATCGGACAGAAATGCTCCAAGTTTTGGGAAACCTGACCCTCAATTCTCACAGGAATAATCTCAGTTTTCGCAGGAGTGAGATGCTCCAATTCGACGACGTGAAGGCCTTCCCATGGGGGTTGTATCCCTTCATGATTCCTGTTCCCTGGTGCATGTACTAGCAGCAGGGTGTCTAAACCGAGGTCGATTTTAGAGAGTTTCAAAGCGAATTCCCTTGACAATGTCCTGCATCGCAAGAGTGTACCCAATGGTAGTTTCCGGCATATATATTGAAATATGTCCTCTGGAATTTCTAGTAGGTGAACCGGGGCCTCTTGAGCCATCAAGTGGCTGCTAAGAAAATGAAAGAAGCCATCAAAATAAACACACACACACACACATAAAGAAGAGACCCAAAAACAAAACACCAAGTTCTACGCATACAGAACAAAGACAAGCATAGTGCTTTTTTTCAACGAATTTCTTCATTCTTTCAGCCCTTCTATTGTATTGAATCTACTCTCCAAAAACAAAACAACAAGGACTATATGCATACAGAACAAAGACAAGTGGCTGCTAAGAAAATGAAAGAAAAACACCAAGTTCTTGTTAGGCAGAGGCTATCCTCAGATTCGAATTCAAACTCATGATATTGTTTGTACGTTTCACAATTTCAAAGTGTGTTGTATTTGTATTTTAAATTCTGATACAAGGATTGCCTTATCAAGAAGGAGTCCTATCTTATCTATGTAACCAGCTCTTGTAATTTGTTTATAAATACAACTCTTCATCACACTGATGGATCATTTAGCCAAACCTGCCTTCTTGAGTAAACCTAAACTTTACAGTTCTACGCATACAGAACAAAGACAAGCATAGTGCTTTTTTTCAACGAATTTCTTCATTCTTTCAGCCCTTCTATTGTATTGAATCTATTCTCCAAAAACAAAACACCAAGGACTATATGCATACAGAACAAAGACAAGTGGCTGCTAAGAAAATGAAAGAAGCCATCAAAATAAAGACACACACACAGAAAGAAGAGACCCAAAAACAAAACACCAAGTTCTACGTATACAGAACAAAGATAAGCATAGTGCTTTTTTTCAACGAATTTCTTCATTCTTTCAGCCCTTCTATTGTATTGAATCTACTCTCCAAAAACAAATCACCAAGGATTATACGCATACAGAACAAAGACAAGCATAGTGCTTTTTTTCAACGAATTTCTTCATTCTTTCAGCCCTTCTATTGTATTGAATCTACTCTCCAAAAACAAATCACCAAGGATTATACGCATACAGAACAAAGACAAGCATAGTGCATGAACAAAATTTAGGGCGACTTACTTGGTTTCCTTGATTTTCTTGATTTTCTTGGTTTTCTTGGTTTTCTTGGAGCTCAGTGAGTTTTGAGACAGACTAACGATGACGAAGTGCACATGCTATAAGTGACTAGGGGTGGTTGCGGTTCGGTAACCGCGAATTTTTACTCAAATCGTAAACCGACCGACTATTTGCGGTTTGGTGATTTTTGAAACCGCAAACCGACCGCATTTTGCGGTTTACCGCACCCTAAACCCTAAACCGCAAAATGCGGTCGGTTACCGCGAATTAGCGGTTTAAAACCGCGAGTTCTCAAGCATTCACAAAAATATAAATTCACAACCTAAATAAATAAATACACAACCTCAATTTCTCAAACATATATAAATTCACAATCTCATCAACTTCTCAAGCATTCACAACCTAAGAAAATTAAAGTTACAATTTCAAGCATTCCAATTAAAGTTAAACTTCTCAAGCATTCCAATTCCAAATCCTTTAAAGTTATAAACCAAAAGGAAAATGCAAAGCAAAATGAATTAAAGTTACAACAAAAAAGAAAAATTCAATTCAAAGTTAATTAAAGTTACAAACTAAAAGGAAAATGCAATGCACCAATGTTACAAACTAAAGTTATAAACTCAAGTGTTGGTGGTGAGTGGATTTGAAGAACCCCGTTGTGTTGTTTGAGCACCAATGTTATTTACAAATAAAACAACATAGTGTAGTACATTTTATTATAAGAAGAAGCATAAATAACATTAGTATAAATAAACTAATTACTTACAAGTTGTCATATGTTCTATTTCCTTGTAAAATTCAACTTCATCATCCGTGTGGCTATACTTTGCGGTTTGCGGTAACCGCAAGTTTTGAAAATCAAATACCGCAACCGCAACCGCAAATGCGGTTCGGTTCTTAATACCGCAAATGCGGTTCGGTTTACCGCGATTGCGGTTTCATTGCGGTAAATTATCGGTTAGTTTTTGCGATTTTTCGGTTTTTCGGTTTAAAATGCCACCCCTATAAGTGACAGACTAACGAACTTAGAGTTGGCGCCAAGTTCTGTGAGTTTGGAGATTTCTGGGTCTGAGATTGAGTCCCAAGCATTAAGGCCCATAAAAAATATATTGAGTCCACCAACTCAATTCTAGCCCACTTAACTTGCTTGGGTTTCACAGTCGGATTAACCCGACCCGTTTTCATAGTCCGAAACAAATCCCCCTTGGCTCCGGTTGAGGGTTTTAGAGGATTGAGGAGACCAACAAATTGAAAAAAGCTAGGGCATCAACCTTCGACGCCACAGACTGAACCACCACACCCTCCGGACCTTACTTGAACTACGATGGGTATGCATACGTTTCCGATTACTTTCATGCATTTTCTCGGAAACCAAACAAGAAAACAAGTTTTTTTATTTTCTTCATTATCACTTTTCAAAGGGTTTATTTGACTTTGCATCGGCAACACTTTTGGTTTTTAGGGTCATACAAGTGTGCTTTGGAGTTATGGAGAAAAAAGCAAACAGATGTTATTAGGGTTTTGCCCAAGATGAGATTGTGGGGGCACAGAGCTTTCCACACAGAGGAGGCCAAGCCAGATCAGGTTTATGTTTTGCTTTGGCTAGAATTTCTACGTTTCAGAGGCTTCAATTTTATTTAAACCAAGTTGCTATCTTATAAGGGTGCAGTTGCTGACAGTACTGAAATCAGGATGTGCAAGTCAATCTACTGTTCCTGCAAACCATTTGACTAGGGTGAGGTAATTGTGTGATATTGGTTTTTACCGTTCTGTTTCTCTTAGCACATTGCAAGCTGAATTTTTTTTTTCCTCTGAATTCTGCAGGGCATAGCTGGAGCTGATGGTTAGTGACTGCTTCGCTTAGGTATTACAACTATCTTCTGTTGGTTAGAGCATCTAAAAGAAGATTAGGAAGAATTAGGATAGGGAGGTTAACTTAAGATTAAATATAAATATTATAATTATTTATTTATTTAAATATAAACATATATATATATATATATATATATTTTCGGATCGGTTCGGGGATGGGGACGCCAAAATGCTTGTTAAAATGAACAAAATTAAGTTTGTTTTCCAGCAGTCAAAATGCTGCAAAAGTCATAATTCAAAAGCTGATAACATAAGTCAGATACTTCTTAAAGTCCGTAGTTCCAGGCCATTGCCCATTTACATCTCAACACAAACATATATACTGTGGCTTTGGGTTCTCGGCCCTTCCACACACTTTAGTTTGTTACCCTAATCCTCGTTCCTTTACTCAATGAGCCGAATGAGGAAAGGCGCTAGCCGTGCGGTGTGCTTGGACAGCACAGGCACAATGCACGGATGTCAAGTTCAAACAGCCGCTCATAATGAGGGAATGCCTTCCAGAGCAGGTATGAAGTGCGGGAAATGAGTCGCACACCGCCTGAACAGCAGAAGGGGTGAGTGCTGTGCATTGGCTGATGTTGAGAGTCCTGAGCCCTTCCTCATCATTCTTGGGTTTCCTAGATTCCCACACTGCTTCAGGCTTGTTCCTAACTAAACTCTGGGCCAAAGAACACATTGCTGTGTCTGTAATGTTCTGACAGTAATAAAGGCCAAGGGATCTCAGATGAGGGCACCTGTTTGCCAAAGCAATCTCACTGTCATCTGCAATGAAAGAATAAAGGCATCAGAGATGATCACTGTCCATAAACCAGGTCAACTACATTTTGTGTTCAATTCCTCATGTTCCAATTATAAGGACTCTCTTTCAGTTCAGTACTAATTTCGGCACATTCTTTCATCAAGATGGATATGGGTTAATTATTTCAATTGGTAGCAAATGGAAAGCATAAAAAGAAAAGGACATGAAAGGTTAGCCTAAGCATCTAATAAAAAATTTCATTAAGTCATTAGGCATTTTACTGAAGACAATGCTAAATCGCTACTATAAGGTTAATGATGGATAGTGATTGCCAACTCTGAAACAGCACAGCCAATACTAAGCAACTTGATAATAGCAGCATTGATTCCCTTGCAATGCACCTATTAGTACGTACATGTGCAAATAAGAGACTTGAGAAATATGACTGCCAAAACCAACTGTAACAAGGAACAGGTACTGTAACCAAAATACCTGTTATTTGGAGAGAGCCAGACAAATCAACGGTTCTGAGATCAGGGCATCCATATGCCAAGCTCATAACTCCAACATCACTTACATCCTCACACCAACCAAGATTCAGACACTGCAACTGACTGCAGTAACGACCAATAGCCTGCACTTGATTTTACAGTATTAATAGAACTATCTTAGTTAAGACAAGGGAAAAAAAAAAAAAAATCAATATCTTATCTTTACCAGCAATGCCCTGTCTGACGCAGTTCTGACACATCCACAAAGATTCAGAACTTTCAATTTTTTGGCAAAAGCTAGCCAGATACTCAAGAGCACTGTCAGTGAAGGCTGTACACCCGCTAATGTTGAGTTTTGTAAGATTAGGGCACCCATGAGCTAAGGCATACAGGGAGCGGTCACTGAGCTTGAAACTTTTGCTGAGGTCCAGGACCTGCAGATCATGACAGAAGTTTGCAATGCTCTCAACAGCATTATCCTCAAGTTGGGGTTTATCTTGACGTAGAATTAGAGTCTGCAATCTTGTAAACTTAGGAGCAAGAGATAGGACCAAGTTGTTCATGTTCTTGGTGCAGCTGAAAAGATAATTGACAAGCTAGTTATGATTAAATTGGCATTCAGAACCTTTTTTTCTTTCTAAATCAATGCACAAAGCTTAAATCAAGTCATACACAATCTCTAGAATCCTTTCATGTCACTCATTTACTTTCTGGAAACAACAGAGAAAGGATTTGGCATCATCTGGGAAAATTTTAAGTTCCCTGTACCCAAAAGCATAGTCTTACGCTTTTGATATTCCAAATTTCCATAGGATCTTTAGTTCCTTTCTCAGCCGTCTTTGATTCACCTTAGCAAGCTTTCAACTCTGTTAGTTGAGCATCATCAACGCACTTACATTCTCTCCTTTTGTGTTGGGTTGGCAAGGGTAAGGGGAGAGGGAAGAAATAAACTGAAAATAAATAGACTAATGACAACCAGCGACGTGAAGCACCAACAACTAACTAAGTCGCACACGGTAACAACGTGATCTCAAAATACCCCATGATTACACATTGAGATTGTATGCGCAATACTGACAAAATCCAGCTTAAACTGACTGTATAAGCATAATGCAGCAACCCTTATCAACATCTTCTCATAAAGATTACAGACATTATGTCACAAACAAGAGAGAGTATTGACTTTCAAAAATTGAGGAAGATAAATATATCTCAATTCTAACATAGGAGGCCAACTTAAAATCAGGATATAACTGTCTTGGGAGAAAAAATGAACTCCAAATAACTTCAAATAATTAGCTGAGATGAAAAGAGTTTTACGCAGGGAAACAAAATAGAATTTTACCAACCCCAGGAAGAGAATCTAGACGTAATCTTACAACTAGACAGCATGGGCAAGCAATACAATTAGTCTGATCTGGAACACTTAAAAGCATCATTTTCACATAACCCTATATACGCTCTTGCAAATTGACATAATTTCTTATAATACCCTTACAGAAAACAATTTTTGAGACGCATGTTGATTAATAAAAACCATTGGAGGAATCATATCGTGTTCTAAAGAGTAACAAAACTGTAAAAAGAATTTACACAAGAACAGAGGATGGTTTATCAAAGAGGACAGGACAAATTTACACACACATTATGCCAACATATTTGTTTCGTTATTTGTATCGTCAAACAGAACATTTCAACTAGTTTTGATGCCACAACAACAACAACAACAGCAACAACAACAAAAAGAAGGATGTACAGAGGGCAAAGCATATACCATGCGAGGGAGAGACGGGTAAGGCCCAAGCAAACAGCATCTCTCCAGCCACGACAGACTCCAGAAGCCATGATCACCGTCTGATCATCGACAATTCCAAGGATTTGCAACAGGAGCTCCATGGGAATATCCTTCCAATCAGTAATAGCCCTTCCTTCCATTTTCACTTTTCCACAACCAAGAGCAATAGCACCAGCACTACCACCACCAAACATCATGAGTTTCTCAAAGCACAAGTTCAAGTCTTCAGTCTTGAAGTTTTCTTTTCCTACCATTTCAGAATCTAATCTCAGCCCAAAACCCACCACCTTTCACAATATAAAAGAAAAGCTCCTCGTTTCTGTCACCAGCTAAAGAGAGAGAATCATGGATAAGTCAGTAAAAATTCCGATACAGAGAAAACAAAGGTGTGGAAAAACGACAAGAAAATAGAGTACCAACACAAACCCATGTGTCAACACCTTAGAAACTTCAGGGAATCATGTGACAGATATAGCAGAGTAAATCATGTTCAAATTAAAAAGCCATTGTTACTCTGTAAATATAAATAAACCCATTAGCTTGCTTATAAGAACATTGAAATATGCAGCATATTTCACCTGTGCTTGTAAAAGTTACAGCTTTCAATTTTTCTAAGCAAAAAGGAAATTTCAACAATCAAAGAGACCCTTTCAATTTTTCTTTTGAATTTTTGAAAGAAACCCATTTCAGTAAATTGAAAGACAGAACTGGTATCAGTTCAAGCACGCTCAAAATCAAATTAGAAGAAAGGAACAAGCTTGACAGTGATGATGAAATGAAATATGGAACCTCAACTTCAAAGAACATAAATTTGAAACACAAAAGATTATATTTGAACTTAGAACACAAAAGGTGCAACTTTTAGAGGAAATCAAAATAATAGTGTTTACACCATAATCAACCGAGTATATCCAGCCTCAAAGTGACTAGCACCAAAGGCAGACATGCCTTCTCTCATGCCGAAAGAAGACACTCTTCCGAGGTGCCAAGCACCTGCCGAAACTCCCGACTGCCAAAGCTCACAAATTGCCAAAACTACTCTCCATGACACATGTCACCGCCACAGTGACTTGCACAAAGTCCCACATCGGAAATCTACACCAACCTCCCACTTTCACTTCCCTATAAAAAGGGCACAATACCCTAGTAAAAAGGGTAACTACTTTTCTACCTTTTACTGTTACTCTGCAAAAGTTACCCTTCTTAGCTGACTTAAGCATCGGAGAGCCTTCGGCCGGCACCACACCGATGTCCGAAGCTTAACGACTGCTTTCCCTATTTTTGTCTTCTGCAGGCTAGCCTTTATTGAAGGTCCAGACCCTCTCCCTACTGAAGGCAAATCCCATTTTTTCTCTAAGTTGACCATCTCCGAAAAAGAGCATCAACAGTTTGGCGCCGTCTGTGGGAATCGATACTTGAATCCCATTTTTCTCTACCAGCCCAGCTGGCTCCTTCACCTATTCGGCCCCGTCGCCTCTTCTTCACTCCACACTAAGCTATGCCTACTGAGGATAGCCATGATGCCCAACACCATACCCCCCAGGAGAGTACCTCCCAGAGGAGACCTTCGGCGGAGGTCAATCTCCAGGCCGAGGTGGAGCTCCTCCGCGCTAGTGTCATCAAGATGTCCGAGAAGTGTGACCATCTTCTTTCCAGGAATGTTGAGCTAGAGCATGACTACCGCACCCTGAAGCGTAACTGGGAGAGGAACCAAGCCCAGGGCGCCCAACGCAGCCTTACCCATGAACCTGAGCATACCCAGCCAAACCAGCCAGAGCACTCCCACCATAGTCCCCCAATCCAGCCTATGCCCAGCAAGGATAAAGGCCCCCTCCATCCGGAGA